ATTAATGTGTTTTGTTTTTATTTTTTTCAACAAAATATTTTATAGACTGTAATCAATTTTAGAACAAATTACACTTACTAATTAAACATATAAATAAATTTAATAGTTATTATATTAGCTATTAGCAACATTATTGTTCGAATTAATAATTATCATTGTTATTATTATAAGATGTTTATTAAATTATTAATTGTGAATAAAATATTATTAATTTCACATAATATTAGATAATTTTTATAGCATTATTCGTTTTATTTTGAAACTTATTATTTATAAAATTTGTATGACAAAAAAGTTGGGTTTTTTATGTGTTTGAATCATATTTATTTCTATATAAAGTGGATTTTTTTTTTTTTTATAGAATAATAGTTTAACCCTAATTCAAATATTCATATACATATTTACATAATATTATTAAAATATAGACTGGTGGTAGTTTTAAATATAGAAAATGTCAATAACTGTGTTATTGATACTACAAATCCAAGTCCAAGAATTTAAATTTAAGAAAAGTTCTTTATTCTCTGTTCAACAATAACCAATACAACCAAAAAGCACAATATACTTTTATTTTTAAAACATTGATATTTTCAAGAATATAGAACATTTTTATGAGAATCTTTTATTTATATTATGGAGTTTATAAAATATACATTTTTATCTTTGAGTTTTAACTTTCTACTCTTCAACAATTTTTTTTAAATTATTTAAAGTTTTCCAACTATCAATTATACGTAATAGAATTTTCAATCATTTTCATTTTTAACGAATTCAGAAGAGTTCAAAAATACTTGGAAAATTAAATAAACTACAAATATTTCAAATAATTATATTAAAATTACTTGATAAATAAAATAAAAGACAACTAAAATTATACATTTGTGAATAGTTCATACTTTGTATAATTAAAAATATGCTTCGATGAGGTATATACTTATAATAATCAAAATATAACTCAATATTTATATTAACTACAAATAGTAATTTAAATCAAATACCCACTCTTTAATTTAATCAGATACATTTCAAGGGATACTTCAAATTTATATAAATTGTACAAAGCACATAGAAGTCATATAGAAGTTCAATCCAGTATCCATTGTTTAGGTTTTGTTCTATATTAATAATTATGCTATAGTAGTACGTAATATTAATGAATTCATTTTTCTGTCGGTCCACACGCGTTTATCATATTTAAAATTTGAAAAACGTCTTGTAAATATGTGTACTTAAATAATTAATCAACACTATTACGAAAAAATGTTATCAACTAGAACTTACATCGGAAAAATCCGGTACATATACATTATACATAATATACTATGCATGTCAAATTTTTTGATAAATATTATCCGCTTACGCATACACCTTTATTAGAATATATTTCTAGGTCAATGTGCGAGACATAAATTATCACGTATTTTAGTAATAACTTAAAATATTTGGTGCTTTTAAATGCATACATGTGGTTAGTTTAGTTTGGAAGGTTGTCTAAATATATAGGTATTCCAATGACATGTTGATTTCATCCGCACAATTTACCATTTTTATAAAAATATCTATATGATTAACGATTTGAATAATAAAATATCTATAATTTAAGCTATTTATCAATTATTTGCTATAAACACAACGATTAATTCCATTAGAACATGTAACCCTTATCAGGGTCGTTAAGAAATCTATTTGAGGTTTTCTAAGTAAACCCGATAGTTTGTACAATGTCAAGGTCAGATTAGAATTTCAAAACACCAATGCCAGACACATTTGAGAGACTAAAACTCAATTGAATATCGGCCAACGAAGTGCAATAATATACTTGTAGTATCGGGGCCAGAACGAGCCGTAAAAATTACGCTAGAATTGCTTAGTATATTGATCGTTCGATAAACGATGTTGTAGAGCCAACGAATTATTACCGTTTGACAGATAAAATATTATTAAACTGCATCAACTATGATGCCCTAAAATCCAACGGAAGACTGATACGTCGCGATTCTTGTCACTTCATTGAAATCGGTCACAGATTCCGCTGCCGGTAAGAAGTATAATATTATGGTTACGACTAGTACTTCTCTACACACATGGGTTTAAAAGGTTTACTGGTGTATTTGCCTACAATTAAAATGACTGCATGACGGCATAAATTAAATACTATGTGTTTTTTCAGATACAAATAATGATAAACAATGATAATAACAAATTACGGTATTATTCAACGCTTCAATAATTTTATGCATAAAATAGTATTTTCCCGCTTCCAATTAAAAAATATACGCTGTGGTAGTTCACTGTCATCATTAAACTCTGCAAATGATTTATGCATGAAACATTTAAACGCAACGTTGTAATATCGGGAAAAAATTCTTCTCCGATGATTATTTTATTTGCACCATCTGGTGCCGAAATCGATAGTATTTATGCAAATAATAATTATCTTAACAATCTTTAAACTTTGATTTCAAGTATTTGGTCATATTTGATATTGATCTTATTGGAATAGTATTCACCAAAACATATTACACATAATATAACAAATTATGATGTAAAGTAAACTTTTATTACTTAACGTATTTTGTTTTTAAAGTTACGCTATAAATGCATTTATTTTTATGATTTGTTAGAAATATTTATTTCTCTTGAGGAATTTTCACATTTTAACTCGTATACACACTAAATATGCACGTTAACGAAAAAAAAAACTTAAGATCAACAACATTAAACTGTATATTAAGTTTTACTTCTAACCGGAATTCTACAAAATCCTTCCTTTAGCACGATCTTTAAATTGTATACTGTTAATAAATGTTTTCTAAACGACTATTGAAGTGAAATTAAACCATTTTTAAAGTACTTGTGCCGGAAATCACTGTAATAAAACCGTTTTACCATAAACATTATACACATCGTACGTTATCAAATAGCTTGTGTAACTGATTGCATTGATTATGACAATGCACCAAATATATTATTGAACTTAGATACTCGTATTTCACATATAATCATTAAGTATGGTACATTGCATAGAAGCATAGAAACGCTAAGGAAATTTTACCTAATTATTGGAAACGAATTATTACTACTCGTATATTAAATACACATTCCTTATTTCACTCAAAATCTAAAATAAATATATTTCTTAAACCAATACAGTCGTTCATGTAACTGTTTACATCAACGGTTCTCAAACTGTAGTACGCGGACGGCCGCATGGTGGTAGAACAGAAAATAAAAATTTGATATTTAATTGATATATTAATTTAAAAATACTAATTAATTTATATTAGTAAATAAATAATAATTTTATTGTATTATTTTACTCCCTATTTATTTAAAATAAATGTATTTAAATATATTACGTTTATATGGTTCTATTGTTAATCATTAGTAGTACGTGACTGACTGATAATATACTCAAGTGGTGCGCGAAAAAAAAAGTTTGAGAACCGTTGGTTTATGTCATACATGTATAATGAAATACAAAGTTAAGAGACATATACAACAGTACAAGTACGATTTACCGGTAAAACCAGTATTATACATTTTGTATATTCAATAACCGTTTATCATGCCAAATGCAGAGGTTTTGCTTGAAAGTAAGAGTATACGCACATACGATTTATATATAGAGTATAATAGGGTCAGATTGAAAAATATAATATTATTACGTGTTTTGCGATGTAACCGGTTTTGTTCACATTGTAGGCCAAGGTGTGTTCACCACGTTCGACATACGGTATACCTACAAAGAATTCCTATAATAAAATGATAACAATAATAAACGTCATATTTTCATACGATTCTTTTTTTTTTTTATTATTATTTATTTTATTTTACTGGTGAAATTTTAAACCACTCATCAGGGTCAACCACCGTAGAGGATTATCTCGGAGTAGCTGTTGAACATGATTTGTGTAAACATAAGTTGTATGTGTTCTTACTGTGTAATAATATTGCCAAAGAAATAAACTAAGAAAATATTATTATTTTTTGAAAAATAAAATCGTTTGGATCATCCAAAAATATATCTGGTGCCACGCATACATACGATGTACCATCTACCTCTTTAACACCGATGTAAGTACATGTAATCCATCGTGGAAAAGCCGTTCTACATCGATATCGATAAATTACTGTATCGTATTGCGAGCTGTGGAAGATATTGTCAAATTTTTGCGTAAAAACCGAACGTTCCAATGCATATTGTTTGACCAAAATGTAAACGTAACATTTCGAACAAAGACACCGACTACGGCGTTGTTGGTCATGATCTTATTATTATAATCATTCACTTTCGACAAACTGTTCGGTATATTTTGTTCTTGAAATTTATACAACAGAACCTTAATTTTCAGAACGTTTGAACGCGTACACAATCTGAAACTACTGCAGATTGAACAAAGAAATATAATGTCCTTAGTTGCATACATAACACTAATACCGTTGAATTTTCTAATTCGCACCACACACCGTGTTGCAACAAAATAAGTATCCGGTTGTGGAATGTGACACATAGTAGTCCTTGATCTAAAAAGAAAAAAATCGATAATTTATGGCGAAAAAAATTCTTTAAACCTGCTAGCCGCAAATCGTTTTGACTTTTGATTATAACGGAAACCGTCTGCTGATCAGTGATAAATGCTCATGTTTAATAATATTACTCGTTATAACTATATAGTTTTATAAACTTTATCGGCATTTAATATCATCACTTGAGAATAGTACTACATTTTACAATATGTAGATGCGTCTTGTTATTACATCGTAGTATATTGTACGGTAATGCATCAATATCGGATGCTAAGTGAAACCTATAAAATCGAATGTTGCCTTGAAATGGAAAATATATTACATTGCGGATTTGTATAAATCCTCTGTTTTTCGGTTGGAAGGAATACGCCGTGCTTGTGCGCACGATGAGCATAGTCGCATAACGAGAAATGTTATTATTATCGTTGAACAGGAGAAGACGAAAACAATTAGGGTAAAAAGAATCACAATTTTCGAGCGTAAAAAATCACATGTTATAATACTGTAACAGTTTACACTTATCAAATTCACTTGTCGCCGTCAAACAGTAAACAGCGATTCGTGTAGCGTGTCAACGCTTCGGCAAAACAGTACTGAGCACGTACGTCTCATTCTTTTTCACCGAAAAGTCCAAAATAATAACACATATATATTTACATAGGTACATACAAATCAAATATAATATACAATATCACAATATTCGAGAAGATCAATATCTGTTAGTCGTCTAAGCCTCCTTCCTACTGTTAGTTATTGTTTACCACGGGGACGTATCAGTACTTGCGTCGTACACGCAAGTCCATGCTAACGTACATATTATTAAAAAACAATTGGATCCTCGTTACGATGTATAATAACTTTAATAACTTTAACGTACGCGGAATCGTTTTGGTGATATTTCCGCATACCAGTGTTTTAGGACACCGTATGGGAAACACCGTTGTAATGACTAGAATTTAACGGACCACGATGATAAACACGATTGCAATATGAATGACGAATAACACGCGGTTTGAAGTTTTGAAACCGATCGACCGTTGTAAACAACGTTTCGAGCATGGTCCCCGCAAAAATCAGGACAAAAGGGCGAAAGGCTAAGGGCAAACATTGATGAAATACGCGGACAAACGGTGTCATGGGTACACGAAAAATCCCACGCCGTACGCGACCGATAAAATAATAAATAAATTAAATGTGAAAAAATAAATAAACGAAAATTGACAAACGAATGCAACATAATGATAATAATAATAATAATACAATTGATAATAAATGGTCGATGGAACAATGCTATGACCCTTGAATGGAGGTACGCGCGCGTGATGTGAAATTCAGTCGAGAACGCGAATGTACCGCATTGCGTGGCGATAGGAGAGCAGCCGGAACGGCCGGAATAAGACCGAAAGCGGCGGCGGACGTCGGTCAGTTGCCGTTGCGCAGGTTGGCGCTGGACACCAAGTTAGCCTGCATCCAGTGATGTATCTCCAACGGACACTCGGGCTTGAGCCGCGGTGCCTCCTGGTTCCCGGGGTTTTCCTTGGCGTGCTTGGCCAGCAGCTCACCCATCAGCTGCTCCACGTCGCAGTTGATCACCCGCTGGCGGCAGTGCACGATCGCGTTGACAAAATCGTCGCCCCTGCTCACGAACCGGTGCTCCATGTACACCGAGTCCTTGTCCCAGTACACGATCCGGGACGAGATGCTGTACATGCTGAATGTGCGGATAAACTTCCGGTACCTGATGGTGGTGCCGCCCTGCACCGGCAACCCACCCTTGTCGCGAATCGCCCGCCACAGGCCGGTACGTGTGTAGAACTCGGTGCGCGCGAAGTCCACCTCACGCAGGTACCGCGAGTTGTTCATATGGAACAGCAGGAAGTCCACGTCTGTGGTCAGACACGCCGACGAGTACGACGTGGTGTCCAGCACGTGCACATACTTCTTGAACAGCCGGCACGTGGCCGCGCACCAGAATGTGCGCGCGAAGTAGTGCACCTCGAACACCCAGTACAGCAGCACGAGCACCAGCAGCACCGTTACCGCAGCCGTATATGAGTCACACGCGAGCAAAACGTCCAACATCGTTGTTATCCCGTCGACCGTCACCAATCTTCTGTTATTACTCTTACTATCGATGTCCCGCGTTCCGTATTTCCGTATTTCCGATGCGCGTTTCGGTTTTTATTTCCTGCACCGCTTCCGGACGATTAACCGTGGTGACGCGTCGCCGCAAAAATTCGATCCGAAAATCTGCACTGCCGATTGTAAACGTAAACGTCGCAGCGAATGTAGCGAACGCTGAGCGCGATGGATTGCACGTCGGCCGTAACTGTACCCGTCTACGCTGCGGAACACGCGCGCGTACAAGCTATTGAACAATTATAGTTACTAATAAATCGATATTCGTAAACAATACTGTTTCCTTCTAAACAAAATATAAAATAAAAATACAATAAGTCGCGTCCCGTCTCTATGCGTAATTTTAAAATTATATATACGTAAATATACTATAGAGCTGTTTCTGGCGCGAGCGCGCGTGTGTGCGTAATATTCGGTCGCTTCGGTCGCTGTGTACGGTATGACTGGGCGTGTGCGTCGGTCGCAGATTGCCGCTGAACGTTCAGACACGATGTCGTCCGGCCGACGGTGGTGGTGGTCGCGGTCGAGGGACCTGTCGCGTGATCGCCGCCGGTGGATTCGAAGCGTAACAAAATTACCCCCCCGTTCGCATTGCAGTTGTTCTCATGATACCGCGTCGGTGATTTCCCCCACCCGCGGTTTTTACCCCGTGCTTAATTCATTCGTTGCTCTACGCGACACTATCGGAACCGACGGCCACACCAGACCACGTTTCGCAATTCGATTTTTCCACTCCATACGTTAACAAGTATCGCAATGAACAAATGCAATTCGGACCTCCGAGTTCCCCCACTGGAAAACCAAATATCACTGGCCCGTGAATTTTACATTTTACAACGCTTTAATTCATCTAAAGAAGAGAATCTCTGTTTTCAATACGTGATTTTTTTTTTTTTATCATGCGTTGCTCTCGAATGCGTTTTATAGAATCCTTTGAGATCAACTGCAGATAATTAACATTATTTCGTGTCGTGAATTGTTCAAAGAACAAAATATATATATTACGTATAACCAGTGTGAGTATAGCAAAACATGTTCAAATTATTATTAATTGAAAAATTTGAAATTTTAACTAGGAATTTAAAATGTTGTTGGTATCAGCTCATAAGAAAATCAAGAAAATGTATTCCTAAACAAGTTAGGAATTTGCAAACTGTTCAATAGTTGATTCAAGGTAAAAGCAACAAAAAATGTTTAGGTTTTAATTAAAAATGTATATTGTCTTACTCCCCTCACCACATAACGAAACAATAGTAACACCACTGTACATAATATATATATTTTGATGATTTATATACATTATATAGATACATTTTTTATGTGATCTCTTCTAAAGTTGCACATTCATCAACGCTGTTGCCGTAACAAAAATAATGTTTTAATAAGTGTTTTATTATCTCTCTATCAAACAACTACTGTTTGTGTAAAAATAATAAATACAGCCTAGTCTGTCTTGAGGTCATTACGTTTCCCTACTCCTGAGAAAAACGACGGAGAGATTTCCAATCTATTTAGCAACCGGTTATAATAATATGTATAAAATGTCGTTGGACGACTAATCATCAGTTCGATAGTTTCATAATCGATAAAAACTCGCTGCAATCTTACTATCTATCAGTTCGATAGTAATATCACGCAATATTACATTATCCTCAAAGGATGTCTGATCGCACTGACCGATTTATTACAATAACAGACGATATTTTATCACCTATAGAATATATAAAACTGTATATTTTTCTTTTACATAAAATATTTTTCATAGTTGAAGTATACATACTATTTTACACGCAGAGGCGTCATTTGATTATGTGCTTAGTTTAGCTATTTCAAAGTCAACACATTATCAAAACATAAATACGTATTTTATAAGGTCACTGACATTGTAAATCAGAAAACTAAGACGTATGCTATACGGATACTTAATCATTAATTGAATTCACTAATTTATTTAATTACTTTATTTGTATAAAGTACAAGTCATTACATTTTTAGACTGGTTCGACATTTCTGTCCCCCCACGTTAATCGGTTCTTTGATAAAATGAGCCGCCGAGTAGGCAATTTAATAAGAATATGACTGTCCTACTCTAAAAAAAACTAAAATGACACCACTGTTTACACGAATGTTATATATACGATTTATTAGTAAGACAAATTATTTATCAAACATGCGAGACCTATTGAGAAATACAAGGAACTACCAAGTAAATTACAGATAACATTTATGATTCAATTATTGCTTTTTAATTACAATTATTTTAGTAAAATTCTTCATAGATTTCCGGCAAGGATTTTCCAGCAGTATTTTCAATAAAAGTATGATAGGTATAATTCATGAATTCAGCTATAAAATAATAAATAAAATGTATTTATTTTTCGATCATATTTAAAGCCGTTAATGTTGCGCCTTAATTTTTAAATTTAAGAACATGGTGCAAATTTTGTTTCAGCTAGAGAATGTTTTTATTTATATTTTATTAACGTAAGGAGTTCTTTTTGGTAAATTTAATTATTATAATCATGATCTTCATTATGATTATAATAATTAACTTAATTAACATGCGAAAAAATAAGGTTATAGAAAAATAAATTTTTTTTTTTTTAAATGTTTTCCCAATTGATCTTAATTTTTCATAGTCAGTACCTAATTATACTTGCCATTGTATTATAAGTGAAAAAATCGGTATTTTATTTAACATACATAACATATGAAACACTTTTAATTGGATTTTATAATTATATAGTGTAGTTTGTATCTAAGAATTCAATATACTGTGTTTAGTCAGATATATAATATTGTTTTAGCTTATATTTTATTTACTATTTCGTCGTACAATTTTAATTGATTTAAAGAAAACTGTGGGAGCGGAATATATTAATGAATTATCTTTTTGTCATGAATTTTAAATTCGTTGTTAACAAAATTCCTTATTATGGTGTTAATAAATGCAGGCTTGTCAGTTGGTAAGACATAAATATAATTTATAAATAAAGATCAAATATAAGTGCGTTAAAAATATTTTAAAATTGCATTAAAAATATGCCGAAATTGCAATGAAAGTGTATCAAAATTGCAATATAAAAATGTTAAAATTTCAATGCAAAATTTAATTATATTTATTATTTATGATTTGTATGAAAAATTAATAAAAAAACAAACCATACATAAACTACCGTAAATTTTATATTTGATAACCGATACTTAAAAATAATCAAAAATAATCCCAATAAAGAAATTGTATATTTTTTTACTTAAATTAGAGTTCAATAAAAAATATTTTTATATAGGTAAGATTTTTCTATTTTTTCATTACCAGTAATGATAACTAAGATCTGCTGTAAATTGTTAATATATATATATATATATTTTATTTTTTTATTTATTTTTTTTATTTATAACAATAGTAACAGGCGTTAGCCCAAATAACAAATTGATGCTTAATATTTAAAATATAATAGTATTATAGATTTCTAAGAAAGAAATAATAAAATAACAATGATAACAAAAAAAAAAAATGATAATATAAAATAATAGTGTCAACTTTGGTGATAATATGATACTAATGAAAAATTACAGTGTTGTTTAAAGTAACATTTTTAAAATAAAATAATATAATATATAATAATAAATAGATATCGGTATAGATAGAATTACAGAAATACAATATTGCTATTTAAGGTATTCCCGGCAGATAATAATATATTAATTGGTGAATGTGACATGTAATTTTTAGAATAATGTGGAATAAAAAAAAGATCTTTGTTTCGAATATTATGATTGTTAATTTTGAATGATATAAAACTAAGGATGAAGGAGTCGTCGATTTCGTTATTTAGTAATTTATTAAGGAATATAGAGTAGGAATTTTGTCTTCTATCTTTTAATGTTTTTAAATTTAATTTATTGAGAAGAATATCATAACCAGAGTGAAGCAGTCTAATTATATTGCATTTATATGAAATATATCTTAAAAATTTATTTTTCACTTCTTCAATCTGCTTACAATGAGATAAAGTCCATGTTTCCCATATTATAGACGCATATTCAAGATGAGGACGGATAAGATATGAGTACAGACTTTTAAAGGTACTGGGATCATTAAAATGTAAACAGTTTCTTTTAATCATACCAAAGACAGCTAAAGATTTTTTTTTTTTTTGAAAATATGTAAATTAAACAGGAGTTTTGAGTCAAAAATTACACCAAGGTCTTTAATATTAGATGTACGATTTATTGAATGATTATCAAGTTTATAATTAACAAGTATAGGATTGTGTTTCATAGAAAAGAATATAGAGTGGCATTTATTTAAATTAATCAACATTCCATTAGATTTACACCAAAGGTTAATATTATCTAAATCTTTTTGTAAGAGAAGTGAATCATTTTGACAGTTTATTAATTTAAAAATTTTTGCATCATCAGCGAAGAGAAGAATATTTGAATAATTTAAGGCTAAAACAATATCATTAATATAAATTAATTAAATTAATTAAATTAATATAAATTAAATAAATTAAACAGAAGAGGTGAGAGGTGGTCACCCTGGGGGACACCTGAAATAACTGGAATAGGATCAGAAATAAAATTTTTGTATTTGACAAACTGTGATATATTGATTAAAAAAGAATTTAGCCAGGCTAATAGCGGATCAGCAAAACCAATTGTTTTAAGTTTATTTATTAAAAGTGAATGATTAATTCTGTCGAACGCCTTTTCGAAATCTGTATAGAAAACATCCGTTTGTTGATTAATTGAAAAAGAATTTAAGAGAAAATGTTTATATGTGATTAAGTTGGTAATTGTAGATTTTTTTTTACGGAAGCCATGTTGCTGAGGAACCAGGACATTATTCAGGAGAGGAGAGATTTTAGAATTGACAATTTTAGAGAATATTTTAGGTAGGATAGAAATAATAGATATAGGACGATAGTTTGAAATAATAGATTTATCGCCATTTTTCAAAATAGGATTAATGAATGTGCTTTTCCAACTTGATGGGAAGCAATTCGTGTTAAGGGAGGTGTTAAAAAGAAAAATTATGGGAGCAGAAAGAACGAATCTACAAGTATATAAAAATAACGGGTTAATGCCATCAGGCCCAGTAGGGGTTTTATAATTTAAAGTGTCTAGTTCATTGAAGACATCAAAAAGGTTTATGTCAAAATTATTTATTGATTGAAAAGATTTTATGACAGGAGTGGAAAGAGAAGGAGCTTTTACTTTTTTATAGGTAGAGGCAAAATAACGACTAAATAAATTTACTATATCTTGACCGTTATCAGCTATTTCATTATTAAGGGATAGAGAATTCGGTAGACCTGAAGAAGATTTTAAATTTTTTATAAAGGACCAAAATTGTTTAGGATTAGATTTTAGAGAAGATTGAATTTTATTTAAATAGCACGCATAGTCTGTTTTACTACGTTGCTTGCAAAGGGATCGGATAGAAGAGAATTGTATGTAATCAAAATTAGATTTAGACATTTTATATATAACATGCAGTAATTTTTTTTGTTTAATTAAAGATTATAATTCTTTTGAGTACCAGATAGGAAATTATGACGAAAAAATTTTCTTTTTTGGTGTGAAAGAATCTATAGCTGTAAATAAAATGGAATAAAATTCCTGTAACATTGAAGAAATATCCTTATAATTATTGAAAATAGAAGACCAGTCAATGAAACCTAAAAATGAGAGGATGAAATTAAAATCACATTTCTTCCAATCATAGGATGTTTTAGAAAAAGTAAGAGTAGAAAACGATTTATCAAACAAATAATTTATGTATAAAGGAGGGTGGTAAGCGTCTATTGGAACAATTGGGTCATTATGTAAGGAAACATTAGAAGATGGTGAATTAGATAGAATGAGATCGAGCATAGAGTTATTGTTGTTAAGAATAGAATTAATTTGGAAGAGATTGAGCAAAGAAATGTTTTGAAGAAATATAGATTCCGATGAAGCAAGGTTAATATTTGGGTTTAACATAGCTTTATTTAATTGGGGCAGATTAAAATCTCCGAAAAGTAGCAAATCTGTATTAGGATATAATAAAATTACATCCTCAATAATATTAAAATATGATTGATAAAGAGTGGAATCAGAATTTGGGGGGAAATAGACACAATTAAGAATTATTTTTTCTCTGTTATTAACTTTAATTAAAACAAAAATCAACTCTAATGAACCTGTATCTATATTTAGTTTTGTTGAGAAAAATTTATTTTTGATAGCTATTAAGACGCCACCGCCTCTGGATAAACAGCTTGTGTTACTAGATCTGTCACATCTATATATGGAATAATTAAAGAATCCAAGTTCAGAGGAATTAAGATCACAAGTAACCATGTTTCAGAGAAAAGAATTGCATGAAAATCAGAAATAGGAATATTAGTATTTAAAAGATTAATTTTGGTATTAAGACCCCTGACATTTTGATAATAGATATCAAACTGTGCACTGGGGACTTTTATACATTTTTTGAATTTATAATGGTAGGAGTACCCTTAACATATTTAATTATTAAATCTGGTTCACCATTTTCTCTGCGGCGAAGGAGTTCATTCCGTAACTGGATCATAAAGTCTCGTTGGGCTTTAGTTCTGTCCGAGGAGAAACGAAGATTAGTCCATACTTGATGTGTCTTCAGTTTATTCTGAGCCGCAAATATGGAGAAAACTTCTTTTTGATCCGAAAGTGATAATTTTATTGGTCTTGGCTTGGAAGCGGTTGAAGAACGAAATAAATATATATATATATACGATCGTATTTACTTATATGAGCTTTTAATGTAATTTTTTTTTTTTTTGTAATTTTCTTAACTTAGGTATTAATTGAAGTTAAGTTAACGATATTTTTTAACTAAATGTTTAACTTAATTGATGTAATTCTCATATGAATTAACTTAATTGGATATGAACTCAATTAACTTAACTGAGTCAAAAAAAAAAAAATCACTTGCCCAGCCTTGCAAACTAGTAGTGATGAGAAAGTCAATTTTACTTGTTCAAGTATCAAATTATAAAAGTAGAATTTTTTTTTTTTATATAAAAAAATTTTTTTAACTGTCGTATTCTTAAATGTTTCCTATTAAAATAACAAATAGCTGTAATACGGTATATAAGAAGATATCCTAACGGATTTAAAACATATCAAATTTAATCCTAGATTCTAGAAATAAGCTGACGGTAATAGGGTGAGTAACCTATATTATATTTTTTTTGTTTAGATCACCATTGAACGATATTTAGTAGGTACCTATGGCTGTTTATATTTATGCAGTAACCACATAGCTTTGATATTATCGCGACTTGGTACGTAAATGTACTATAATTAATAGCAAACCAATTATTACAGAGTATGCGTACTCAAATATTTTTCGGCTGAATAAATATAGTATTGAGGAGGAGAATAATATCAAGTCATATATTTAAACGCTGAACCATTTAAAATCTATTTAGGTTTCAAAAACTACTTCCTTATTCTTTTTAACATTGAACATCGGCGTAATAATCATAATTTTACACTACTATTGATCGCCTGATACCAGTTTATCTTGAATTGGGTATTTATTTTTTGTTGTGAAAGGCAAATTATGTATAACAAAGTCACTCAGATTTAAGTGATTCTTCTCGAACGTTGTAAAATAACATGTAAAATACAATAACATCACAGACCTCACCGATTGTTTTATTGCTCGAGTCGAATGCTTTAAGCAATTGGGATCGTTTAAATTTGTGTGAAAAATATATCATCAACCATATGAACCGCTTTCTTAAAGGATCTTGTCAGTTAAAAATGCAACAGTAATTATACACTAATGTTATCCGATTAGTGTGAGTGTGTATGTATGTGTCCTACAAATGTCACATTGTAATAACATTTCAATAAATACTTATAAGATAATATTTGATGTATATTAATATATTATACTACATGAATATGAATATACTAATAATATAAATACAGTAGTTTAAAAAAAATCACATGACCATTTTTAGTTATATAATCAAATTTTTATTCTTTTAATCTAAAAAAACGTCCCCATCTGTTAATATTAAATAATAAGTAAATTATTTTTGAAAATATAACAAGAGAGCTTTAAATATTATTTCTTTTAGATATATCGTTGATTTTCATTACATCTCATATTATTTAATTTTTCTTTGTATAAATTCCAAGCAAATTTCCATAATTAGTCGAAAAATATTTGAACTTATAAATATTTGTATGATTAATGTATACTACAACAATTAATTATTCTTTAGTATTAGGTACATTTTTGTTGGTGCAGTAAAATAGCTTTTATATAGTATATGTTAAAAGTTAAAGGTATATAATTTCTGAATATACTGGATTTGCCATTATATTTATTACTTTTTTTTTATCTATAAACATATTTTCAACCAGAAGGTACATTCTTAAACCTAAAATTAAAAATGGTTCCTGATAATATAATTCGACAACTTGATGCAATCTGAAGGTCATTTTTGAATTTCTCAATAGTTGTCCAAATATTTTAGAAAAACTAACGGAAAATTATAAAATAAATAACAACATTTCATTGTTTTATATAGATGTATAAATATACCAAGGTATATTCTTATGTCAAACGTCAATATGTTAAATTTTTCGATATCTCAAATTACACTGTCACAAAGTACACAATCCCTTTGAAACTAGCACTACTCAAAAGCAATTACTTTCGATTACTCAATATAAAATTAATCAATTTTTCGTTATCTTGAGTACAAAAATAGTATTTTAAATACAGTAAGAATAGAAAATAGTGCAGTTTATTAAATGTGAAAAATCACCAATGAATTAAATATTCTACCAAATACATTATTATCAATTATTTAACAAAAAGATCAAATGTTGATGTTTAATTGTGTAAATATGAAAAAAATGAGGATGATTTTTTATTTGAACATCAGTAAATGTTTATTAAAATAATTTAATAAATACATACTTTTATTAAAGTATTAAATTAAATTTATTATAAATTATTTAAAATATAAAATTATAATTATTAAATATAGTAGCTCATTCATATGTATTTAGAATTAGTATAACTAAACATTTATTTTTAATTTTTATTAAACTTCTAATCCCATTGAGATTTAGGGCCCTTTCACACGACGCCACATTGTGACGCGGCCATGGTGGCGCGGCCAAAATAAATACTGATCTAGATTACGGTTTTCACACGTGGTGACAAATTGGTGGGGCCACCAGTCGCGACGGTCACGACCAAAATAGCTGGACGCGTGATCACATAAAGTGGCGCCACCAAAACATTTTTATGATTTCTTATGAAAAACGCGCGTTCTTTTCAATTGATCGGCTACCAGTTGCGCGACCAGACGTATCTGCACTGTGATTAACAAAATGGACAGCCGAAATTTCGATACAGAAAAATTAATATTTGAATTAGAAAATCGTCCTGCTTTTTGGAATTCTGCAAGTGAAGATTATGCAAATCGTATTTTAAAAAAGAAGAGTTGGGAAGAGTTGGTGGACATATTCAGTACTCATAATGAATGTAATATAAATGAAAAAAGGAAATAGGTGAGTAATTAATATAATATAATATAGGTAGTATAATTATCTATCTATCTATCTATCTATCTATACTATATATAAAATTGTAAGGGTTTTTCTTCGACCGCGCTAACCGAGAAAATTACTGAACCGATTTGGCTGAAATTTTTTTTGGCTGAAAGCCGACACTCTGCTGAAGGTTTTAGTACCACTTTTGTCAGTAAAAAAGTCATAAAAGTTCATAAAAAATTAAGAACAATTGTACCTATATTGTGCGTGTACCTATATTATCAATCCGAGATTGATTATTTAAATATTAAAGCGCTTCAAATTGAACGAATGACTATATTATGTCCTAAGTGCCATGCAAAAAAATGGAAAGATGAAACCCATGGACTTTGTTGCGCTGACGGTAAAGTTGTTTTACACCAATTTGAGGATCTTCCAGACTTAATTAAAAGTTTAATTGATAATTCTCACCCTCTATCAAAACATTTCTTTGATAAATCTAGACGGTCTAGATGCTCTGTTTCAAATGACATCGTTTGGAGCAAACGAAATAGCTGAAGGGAACTTCATGCCCTCTTTTCAAATTCAGGGTCAAATGCATCATTTAATAGGTAGTTTATTACCCGAAATTGGAAATAATGCTAAATTTTTACAAATATATTTTATGTCAGAGTCGGATCAAATATTTATTCGAACAAATATGATTCCAAATTTAAAAAGAGGTCTCATTGAATCATTGCAAACAGTTTTGCGTGAAAATAATCACCTCATACAGAGCGTCAGATCTAATCTGGAGTCGAGATCTTTTGATGAGTTGCAAAACTTTAAGTTAATTATTCATGCTGACAGAGTTTCTCAAGATGAACACAGAGATCAATATAATGCACCTACTATCGATGAAGTAGCTGTATTATTAGTTAATGAAGATAAAGGTCCCAGAGATATAGTTCTGCACGGTCGGAGTGGACACTTGAGTCGAGTTTCCGAATTGAATAGATCTTATGATGCACTACAATATCCATTGATGTATACTAGAGGCGAAGACGGTTATCACATTAATATTTTACAGAAAAATAACCAAAATCGAACAAAAACTGTCTCCTGCATGCAATTTTATTCTTATAGGTTTATGGTTAGAGAAACAAAAAAAAAACATTATTCAGCCAATTCGTCGTAGATATTTAATGCAAAAATGATTTCTGAAAGGTGTAATAATAAGTTAATGGGTGGCATAACATTTGTTTTCGCTGGTGATTTCCGTCAAACCTTACCAAGTCAGTGCAATATTCTCCATTTATTTGTTATTATTCCAAATATACACTCAATATAGCGACGAGCTCTTGACAATCGATAGTTAAAAATTCTCTTGTTCATTGTTAAATTATTTCCCCATAAGGACGCATAATATTTTCTAATAAACCAAATGCTTCATCTCCTACAATAACATATGCCATTGGTTCTGGGTCTATAGATGATATCGGTTTTGGATCAGGAATATTTAAAGAATTATTTATAAGTTTTTTATAAAATAAAAAATCTTTAAAAATAGATGAATCACTATTTTTTCCAAAAGCACCGGTATCTACAGATATGAATAAGTAATTAGAGTCACAGATGGCAAGCAATACAACAGAAAAATAATGTTTATAGTTGTAATACAACGATCCACTTTCTATAGATTTTATTAATCGTATGTGCTTACCATCTACGGCCCCCAAACAATTTGGAAAATTTGCATGTGTTTCAAATCCATTTGCTATATTAAGCCAATTTTCTTTCGATGGTTGTGGCATACATATATCTCTTAATTTTTTCCATATAAGTTCACAAACTTGCTCAACAAAACCACTGATTGTAGAGATTCCAAGACGATATTTGTGATGTAATTCAGTAAAAGATATCTGGTATAAAGAAAATGAAAAACGAAAAATAAATAAATTTTTATTTAATTTAAATTAAAATTATTTGTATTAAAATCTAATTTTAAAAATATTTAAAATGTTTAAAATTTGGTAATATCTGCAATTTTTTAGGATTAAGTTTACAACGAAAATGGAAAAGTTTGCGTGATTATTTTTCAAGAGAATTGAACAAAGTAAAAAAACTAAAGTCAGGGTCTGAAAGTTTCACGAACCCTTACGTTTATTACAACCAGTTATTATTTCTAACACCAGTAGTTCAGAATTAATCTATAGAAACAAAATTACGTAAATTACCACCAGATACTGATGAAAATGAAGAAATCGTAGTTGAAAGCCCTTTTACAAATGAAACTAATGATGAATTACATAACAATGCAACTAGTGGTCTAACAAAGAAAAAAAGAAAACAAATTGCAATGCATCCGGTTGAAAAAGAAATTGTAGAAGCATTACATAAAAGTATTCAACTTCGTCAAGAACAAAACCAACAAATGGAAGAAGATGACGATAGAATGTTTTTGTTGTCTTTATTAAAACCTTTAAAACAAATACCGAAGCCTTTACGTTGTTCTGTTAGAATGGATTTAATGAATGTAATAAATTAAGCCCAAGTTAATTCACAGTCAGCTTCTTTAATATTTCAACCACAGCATCAACCTCTACGGCATAAAATAATGCCACAAACTAATTTACAATATTTACCTTGGACTATGTATCAACCACATCAACAAATACATCATACCTATAATCAAGCCCCAAACAGAAATTATCCAAAAATTTTCAAAATCAGGTAAATACTCATATAAGATCTACAATTTCCACTGAACAACCCAATGATCAGTGTTGGGACTTATCTAGATAGATTTTTTGTCATCTTTTATCTTATCTAGATAAATAACGCTATGTTATCTAATTACTTATCTAGATAATTGTCTGAATTCTTGCTGAGATTAGAGTTATTTTTATTCTTGTATGAAGAGCTTGAAGAAAACGAATCCAATAAATCAGAGATCATCAAAATCAGTCCAGCCGTTCTTGAATTATATATTCTGTAACTAATCCTACTTTTTCTTATGTGTATAGATTTTGTATTCATAATTATAATTCGTGTATTATTAATAAGTAATTATTATTTCTGGGTATGACATCTTGTATTTTCATGTCGGAAAAATATCTTTGGTATTTTTAAACTTAATCTCTTATTTTTCCATGGAAGTTCCAAATATAGTTATTATTATTATATATATTTGATTTTAGTATACACACGTAACTCATACACTGAATAGCCAATACTTCACTCTTGGAACCCATAAAGCCGTAACTACTTATAGAATAATGAAAATCATAAAATTGAAATTATATGGAAAACAATATTGTTAACTTAAAATAATCTCTTATGTATTCTGTATTCATCCAGATACTAAGCGATTTTCATTGTTATTTTTTTTTTTTTTTGTGTCACATTTTAGTGATTAATTATCATTAAATACTATACTTTATATAAAAATACTGCTTAATGGTACACTACATTACTACAATAAACATTAAATACTTAGGAACCTATTGATAATAATTATTATAATTATGTCTTCATAGATATTATTACAAATATGAAATATTGACCAACAAATAACATTTTTTGAAATTATCTTTTATCTTTATCTAGATGAATTTGGACATATTATCTTTCATCTTTATCTAGATAAATTTTGCATTACCTATTCCCAACATTGCCAATGATCAAGCCACAAATACAAACTATGTAAAAGTACCACAAAATCAAACAGATGTTCAAATTAGACCTACAACTTCCATATATCAATATCCATACATATCAACTCCTATACAATCACCTTCAATTTCAATCAACGGTCATTCTACAAAAAACTTCTCAGATTCATGAATTTAAGATATATTTAACTAAAAACAAGCGTTCAATCATATTCCTAATTTAACAAAAGTAAATTTTATCATGACTTAATTTTAATCAATTTTATTATAATTTAATAATCAGAAGTAAGACGTTTATTGTTAATTTTTTTTTTTAAGTATTATAGTTGTTGCCGCCGTAAAATAGCGGCCGGTCGACGACCCGAGGACATCACAGCCTATCGACACACACGCACACATACACAAACACTCGCGTACATTAGCCGCTATTTTTGTATTTATCTTTATGAAATTATATTGTGAATTATATCATATGATAATGAGCTAGCGGCGCGTTATCTGCGTCGCCGGTGCGGGTAATTTAACACGGCCGCCGCAACTTTTGTTCGCTCTCTGCACGTCGTCGTGAAAAGTTCTGTGTGCGCGAATCGCCGCAAATTGTGATTTTTATAATTTTCTTTAAAAACGTGTGCACAAATTGCCTCATACATTTATTATTTTATTGTAGCCGCAAATCGCCGATTATTCGTAGTTTATTATTGTTATTATACGTGCGCTAATCGCAGTAAATTTTATTTTAACTATATTATATGTGCGCTAATCGCCGGTAGTTTTTTATTTATACACATTTACGTGTGCGCGAATCGCCACTGAATATTGTGAATTTTATTATATCATTATTGTGTGTGCGCTAATCGCCACTATTATTATTATTGTATTTTTTATTTATATTATATTTTAAGGTATAGATTTTAGGTAGCTGCAGCTGGCCAGTCTGCGCTCCACAAACCGTAAGTTTTTATATATTTATTTTATTATTTAATTATTAGCCAGAGTATATATTATTATTATTTATACAATTTACGTGTTGCTGTGAATTATTTTTTGTTATTACCATATTTTAAATTTTATAATTTATTGTTGGGCCAGAAGGGCCGATTCTTATAATTTATTTTACAATACAGCAACATAGTTACCATATTATACCAGTTTATTTATCATTGAGTTACCTATTATCATTAGTATTAAGCATACAGTATACATACACACATACACACCCACCACACCACATAGTCGGACAGTACTTGCGCGGCGACCCCAACCACTGCTGTCCGATCTATAAACACACACATACATACAGTGTGCCGGCCGCGATCGTAAGTAAAGGCGGCGTACGCGGATTATTAGCGACCGGGCGCGCGTAATATTAATTTACGCTCCCGGCGCGTACAATAGTATATGTAGATAAGTACCTAATACTATTACAATAAGTTTAATTACCTGCATTGTCTTATATTTATTGGTAGTACAAAAGTTTTTTTAGTAGTATTTTTTAAAGTATATATTAACCAATATATATCTTACCTTAAAGTTACGACCAATTTTTCTATAGGTGAAATACAGTATCTTATATTGATATGTTGACCGGTTAAATCGTCTTTAAGAATGCCGAAAAGTTGATCAAATGAACTGATCGACATTCTTAAATAATTAAAAAATTTCTCTTCATATTTTCTCAAATCATAGTAAAATAAATTAAATAAGATTTTTACTGAGCGATCAGCAATTAATGGATGTATCCAAAACTTTCTGTTTTTTTTCTTTTCACGTCTACTACGGCTGTACAAATAAGCAACACATGCCAACTCTTCCATTTTAGAACTAAATATTGGTTTAATTAGTTTGTTTAAATGTTGTCCATTGTAAAATAAAATAATAATGTGTCTGGTGGCGTTTATGGTGGCTATACTTTTTTGGTGGCACCACCAAGGCTGCGCCACCATTGTGGCGTCGTGTGAAAGGAGCCTTACCATTCAAAAAATCTTATGTATTTATTATTTCTATGAATTTATCTTAAAACGTTTACAAAGACATTGGTTCATTTATTTGCATTATTTTATATGAGATTTACATATATATGTTACGGGTAGTGTAAATATTTGGATAATGTTGACATTATCCGGCTAAAGTCCACATTAGCCAACTATTATCATTACCCGTCATGATTATTATTAAATTTTGGCTAATATTGACATTAACCGGATAACATGATATTAACCAAGAACTTATGGATAATGTCTTAACAACCATAAAAATTTGACGTGCATGCGAGAAAATCATTGTAAATCATTAACAATATTAAATATATTTAACATACAATAAATTAGTAATTGCCATAAAATACATAATATTATTAATATGAATTTATTTTTTATTTTTTATAATCTAACCTACTAATGAAACAATATTGAATTTCATTTTATATTATAAATTATTTCTTAAAATATTATTTTAAGTACCTATAGAAGTAAAATACTAATGTTTTAACCTTTATATTATATGGTATGCTTCCGTGACATTTTGAATTACACAAAATGCTAGATGATTTGCATTTATACATCGATATATCGATATATTGTTCACTTTATCGGTAAGATAACTGACTAACTCGGTTACAAGTTAAGATAAAATATTATACTCTGGAAGTCCGACGCTTTATTATTATATAGAATGCTAATAAAAACTCTATAGTCTATTTAATATACAACTTATAACATTTGTCCAATATTGACTGGTTAAGGTTGAAATTATCCGGATAATGTTAATAATTCCTGCTTATAAACGAAAAATTACACATTAGCCGGATAATGTTGACATCCAAATATTAACATTACCCGTAACTTGTATAAATATATACAATATGTACATACGTTAAATGTATAAGTAACGTTTCATAAATGATTTTTATATCTTTGTTGTATGCTATAGACTGGATTAACATGTGAAATGTACGATAGCGAAAAATAAGTGTAAGCAAACTAAGTATTGCTGTATTGATCTTTCAAACTTGAAACCAATTTTGAACTTCACTTTAAAAAAAATGATTCTGATTAAAACAGATCTGTTAGATTACATAAAATTTCTGAATATAATTGATGACGTGGAAGATATTTTTAAATAGGTAGGTTGCATTTTTAATATTCTAACTTTTGCAACAAAAAAAAAATGCATCTAAAATTTTCGGAAAACAAAATTAGTAAGTGCGTATAAACAGCACAAGCATCATTATAATAATTTGAAAACTATGAAATGTTATTAATTAAATATCAAATATCGCTTAATGATAATTCGTTGTAATAACCGATTTCATCATTCATTTTATAACGTTTATAAATAATTTTTGCGACCTTTCGTTATTTATTTTTTTTTTTTTTTTTTGCTACTTAGAAACTTATATCAAAAACCATATATTCAATTTTCAAAATTAAGTATAAATATTTAAAATTGTATGAATTTTTACTTCAAAAATATAGTAAATTTTTATGACTTGTAGTTTTTTCAAAATTTTATAATTAAACACTTGTAATTTTTTTTTTTTACATAAAACTGATATTTTTTTAATCAGTAGTATAAGGGAACTTTTTATTAAACTTTCAAAACTTTTTTTCCAAACAAAATGATTTATTGACATTTTCGAAAAAAAAATCTAAAAAAACATAAACATTTAAATTTTCTACACATTTTCTATATATTTTTTATATATTTTCAATAATTTATTAAGTTTGTCGACTCCCGTTATCTTAAATTTGAAATCTTAAATCAGTTAGCCAACAATTCCCAAACGAATACGTGAAGTGATTTTTATAAATAATAGATACCTGGTGTTGATATATTGTTAGACAGCTAACAAAATTCCGGTATCTTGATTTTTTGCTAACCTCTAGAAATATTTATTGATTATTGAATAATTCATTTCCCGTAAGCCATAAAGGTGTGTTAAATCATTTAGGTATAATTCACTAGTAGAAATGAAAATAAATCAATTAGACGATTTTCGCTGATGATTTTAGTTTAAACATTAATAAGATAATTAAATAATTTTAGTTTATCCTATTTTGGTTTAAACGTGTCTTATTCTATGCACATATTATTAAAATAAATACTGATTAATTTTAACAACAAATTATCTGCATACAACCGTACACGTCTGTGAAAACCATCATATAGATAACTCTGTGTAGGGACTGCACAATATAGACTTACATAAATGCAACTATCGAACTTTCATTTCCTGGCAAAAAAACCTTGTAAAGCTTATTTTAGCTTTTTACATATTTCCTTTGGTAAAACTG